GGCATTTTCGGGCTGATGAATTATTCGAAAAAATTCAAAATTTCAAAAAAGTTGAGATTGCTACTGGATATGATCAAGCAAGTATCTGGGATTACAAAAATGTAAATTTTTCCAAACTCCGAGCAAAATTGGATTTTTGGCGAGGGTTTGAACAAGTGAAAACAGGGCTTTTTTCGTGTTTTTGGCGCCTTTGAGTGGGTGTGGCGGGCGCAAATGTGGCCATGGAGTCAAACCACTTCAGGGTTATAGTACACTCATAGGACCCTACCACATATGCAAAGCACATCAAGATCTGAGAGGGGCAGGTGGTGAAGCTCCCCTCCTAAGTCCCGTTATTAGTTTGTTGACTTTTTGGAATGCGACACACACACAAGCAGTGACGACGACGATGAGGGACAAATGCACGGTCGGGTTATGAATTGGCCTTTAAGGTCATATGATGAGAGTACGATATGCCTATTAACCATGTTTAGTAGTGAGTTTGATGGGGCATTTACACACAATTATTATATTAATCCGATCTTGTTGTAGATTTATTTGTTGTGAAATGTCAGGTGTGGTGATGGTCACGGCGCAGTTGTAAAAAAAGGGAAGTGGATGAACAATTTTTATTTAAGATAGGTTACGAAGGCTTTCTGGAACGACTCTGAGTCATCCTGCACACACCTTTTTGGAGAGATCTGATTAAGAACTGCTATTATTTGGCAGAAAAAAAGTAACCAATAATTTTTATATCCAGAAGTCAAAGGTGTTTGAAGTCGTCCATGACCACTTGACTTTGACCTTTTATTCTTTGTTATGCATGGTCAAGAATTGCGATAAACTCAACGTCAATTAATCAGAGTTGTTGTAATCCTTCGTTACATAAAATATGTTTACAGCAGCTCCAACATCACATTATATTTTACTATTGAGATTGAATTAAGGAATTACTTATGGTTAAATGAAGATGATGATCTCATCATCAACCAGCCACTAGCCAGCTGGAACGATTCCCTGATAATTATTTTTAGCTGATGGAAATCAAAATTTCCTTTGGTTTAAAAATTTCCATAATTCCATTACAAACTTCAAAAATTTTATATCGCTGATGAGAATTTTTCCAATGTTTATTTAAGAGTACAATTTGCAAATGAATTTGGTAAATCCAGTTATGGAACTTGATTTTGTGTGATATGCACATATGCATGAATCAGTTGGCAAGAGAAGAGTATTAAAAAGTTGGTGGTCGGATCGAGATAAAACCACTCAACAGTTGGTGGATCAAAAAATGTTGTCTAGAAACCCATTCCATCCAACGGTATACGCTGTCCATAGATACGACGACTTATCTTAATCATTTTTATTTTGGAACGAGTGCTTGACTTTTTGTGGCGTATCCTTCCTCTGAACCTCATTGGTGGATCTGTTCAGAGTTGGAGGTGTGCCCCTCAACTCATGCTTATCATCAGTTCTCTACTTCTGCACCATGTGCAAAATCGAAAATAAGCTGTAAACAAGCACTTGAATAGAATTGAAGGAATAAACATTTATCACAAGGGGATTGGAGGCCGCTTTATAATTCCAAATCCAGACTTTAATTGATACTCTAATCTTTATGAAGTACGTATGTATCTATGTACATATGTAAAATATAATCATGTGCTCCACGGTTTATCAGGAACGTACAGCCTTAATTTTCAAAATTGCCATTAATTAATTTTTTTCGATAAAAGTTTAGATCATCAAATAGTTTGTTAAAAACTCAATTTTTTCATCCACTATAATCACGTATGCAAAGAGTTAATCCATCTTGCTGCAATTTTTTTTGATAGTCCCAGCTTTTCCATGCACAAAATGCTATACATGTTCACATAAGTACGTATCGTTTCGACAAGAAAAAGCTGCAGATGATCAGATTTGAGTATGACTGGAGACAACGTTATCTTATTTATCATACCATAAAGTCGTTTATCGCATCCATCCGCGTGTATCTATCTACGCGGCGGAAAGGGTAAGGTGAGAGGTCATGGAGATCACAAGAGTAGAATATTTATAAGTATGGTGGTTATCCTCCGTCTACTTCAAAAATCAAACTATTTGTTCATTTAACAGGCCACTGCAGCCCAGATTGATTCTTCTTTTCCATCCTCAGCATTGCCTCACTTGTGACTTCACTTGTTACATCTCAAAGATAGAGGACAGAGAAAAAGAGAGAATCTTGAGTTTGGTCGGAAATATAATTTATTTATACGTGTCCTTCTTTGGTGGCGAACATGGAATGAATTGTATGGAAAAATATGCTTTTGTTTGCCACCGTCATTTCGATATACTTATTGAGCTCGTTAATTTCATCTTGGTGGTATGTGTGTGATACTATTTTGCTGCGTCAACCCCTAGTTTGAGAGAGCCCGAGAGAGAATGAATTGACTGAATTGATTCTTTGTTCCTGTAATCTCTAAACTCAATTAAGAATTTACGCTTCTTCAGCTTGCTACACCATAAATACACACGCTGGAGTTTGGAAGTTTTTTCGTCTTGATGGCATGATGATGATGTGTCGTTCTTATTTTGATAAATTGAATCTTGTTTGTGAAAACTGATAATTATTAGCTATACGCACATACACACACTACGTCCATCCCTCCAGGATACAATCGTTTCATTCAAAATGGCTTGGCAGAATCTACGACGACAGATATTATTCTGCTGATCAGACGTATGTATGTACATACTTATGTATTTATGTACATATGTGCGTAGTATTTGTTCAAATTTTCAGCTCAGACTGTGGCGACTGTATTGATGAAGCACAACAATATATGGATGGTGCGCTTATCTGTTGTGAGGTTGTTGTTTTCGTCGGATAAGTATTTGTTCTGTGGAAGGAAGGAGCAAGACGCAGAACCAATCATGTGAGGACTCATGTGGGTGTGTCATCAGAGTACAAATGAAATTGTGTCATCACAGTTACATAAATCTGTTTAAATTTGAAATGATGAAAATTCTAGGAAACGACTCAATAATGTGTTACATCGATGCTCAATAAACCTGCTATGAATATGCTATCAACTACAAATAACTGTATACCAAGTTTCTTGCATGGTTAATATTTCGTTTATGTTAAACAGTAGCTATACATTTAGTCAGTTAAATTTAATGTTGAACCAAAAAATCAGATTAGATTATTTGGATATCAGATTATTGGACCCACCTCCAGCACTCGAATGATATGCATACCACATTTCAAGTGTTATTTCTATTGATATTAACTTAATTCCATTAGGCCTAAAATCAAACCAAGTGCAGTTTAGTCATACAAATGCCTATCTATGTATACATACACTAATATATACACTAATATAATGGAGATAAGCATGTAGCTCTTGGTGGAATATGTTGATGATAAACTTGAACGACACACCTTGAATCTCGACCAATCCCATCATCTGCTAATCTACACGAATCTGGCTGGGAAAGTGACAAAATCTTTGCCCAATTGCTTGAACCATATCTGATCTCAAACTCACACTAATTGGCCTAATTTTGAGCACTAATTTAATTTTGCAGAATAAGCACAAGTAATTAAATATCTTCCAGTAAAATTTAGTCTTATTCGACTAATGAAAAACTTTCCTAAACTTTTCTTTGCATGGATCCAGTATTGGCAGGTTATACAAGATTGAAAGCATACTTCATAGCTCATGTGCAAAAAATTGCACAACCCGTAAATCCAATTTGACTTACTTATAATATATGGGCTTAATTGACACTTGAGCATTATGAGATGACAGTTGACACGAGCGACAGATTACTTTCTTATCCATTTTTCTCCTAGTGACTTCTGTACATGGCTTTGGTATTTATGACGCCAAGCATGAAAACGAAAACTCTTTTGTGGTATCCAAATTGCTAATTATGTTTAAAAGTTTTTGCAGATGGCTGGGATGAATAATTTCAGGCAGTAATGCAATTAAATTAATTGGTCATTTGTAGCTCACCTGCCGACGTTCTAGACTAATTGAATTAAAAAGTATTGGAAGGACGTATTGCTTGTGAGTTGCCAATTTTTATCTTTGCTGAGCACAAGCCAAAGGTTTATAGTCTTCCTATAAAGTTTAAATGTCAAACTCATCTATTTTCAAGAAAGATAATTCGATAAAATATGTCGTCCTCATTGGATATTTAATTACTTGCCAAATAATTATATGTAATAAGTAGTCTGCAGAAAGTGGATATCTCATGTCACCCCAAAGTACAGTTGACAGTCCGAGTGTTTGTCCATGCATGGTATTATTTTAACTATCTTTACAAAGGTACCTTGTAATGAGCTGAAATTATATCAAAATAATAGTGAATAAAATCTTGATTCAGTATCAATATTAAATTCGATCGAAAATTTCAACCTGGTTTTACCCTGACTAATCTTAAGTGCGTATAACAGCGAAGTTTGCCGTAATAATATGGGTAACCCACGGTAATCACGGTCTTGATTTAAAATTGTATAATGTTATTTACTTAAACTTGGGTCTATGGAACTTCGAATTTACGATAACGTCGGTGGATAATAAAATTAGGCAGAAGCAGATACCAGAAGGTTTGCAAAGGGGCAGAGTGAAATTTTCCGTTCGTCCCACACCTGAAATTTATTTATCTCCAGTTCTCCGCTTTGAGGTGTGTGTCAATCAATAGCCCAGCTAGTGTAGATTTATATGCCGAATTTTTTTTCTTATGACGGAGATATTTAAGGTTTTATATAATGGCAGATATTTATATGCATATGTGAACTTTTATTATCGTGACGCCCGTAAACAATCAGGAACAAGAGAGGAAGGAAGTCTTACATGCCCACGGTGGGCAGCCCACCACATTGCAGATATGTATAAAAATACATATACGTGCAGTAGCCATTTCCTTGTATGATTTATTTTTTCAATCGCCGTGGAAAATGTAAATATGATTAATTTTGTAAGAATGCATGCTTGTGAGTAAAAACAGGAGAGCCACAACCGCAAAAAAGGTTTAAAATAATTTGAGGATTTATTTAACGTCAACGTTTTCATACTTAATAATATCCTGCTGCTGTATTGAATAATTTTACTACATTCTACTAAATACTTTAACTAGTAATAATATCGTGTAGTAAACTCATTTGTGTACGTATAATAATCGATCTATTTCTCGATTATGTATACATTTCACACGATATGTTATGATTTCTGATTTATCTATGTACGCAAATATCTTGGCGGTGGGGTAGGTGTGAATTTACATGAAAAACAAAGTACAGTGTCGCATCTAATACCTTAGCAATTACCGGATTTTACATTATTTTGGTATATTTTATAAGGGGATGGGTTACAGACAACAAGAATTCAAGTGCATCAGTTTTACTTCTTCTTCTCTTTATTCTACATCAGTATATTTTTGCTGTACAGATATTTAATACATTTAAACATTTACAAACTGTACAATGTAAACTAAATTACTGACTCTGGTACGCATGCTTCGTTACGACATATGCCTGTACAAAAAATAATAAACTTGTGCAAGTTTAAATAAGTAAAAATAAAATGCAAATCTAATGTAAAGCGATATATAAAAATTAGTGTTTTTTTAACGTGAGAGAACAAATAGGAGCACAAAAATAAGACATAAATTATTTCGAAAGGAAAAAAATGGGCTACTTTTAGCTAATTAAATCGTAAACTGAGGAGTTACTAAGTCTATGTAAAAAAAAGTTTGTTTTGTACACAAAATCACACATCACCCTTCGTTTTTGGGAATCGCAATTCTCGTTCAACACTATCTAACTGACTCTGGTATGTAATAATAAGTGACCACGACTAAGGATAAAACGTGTGCATAAGAGCCATTGTGAATGTAAGTTATAAGTTGATAATAAAATAATATGTGTATGATAATAGCCATGTCCTGCTACGTCACTGTTGAAAGAAATGAATGAGTGAAATATTTAGAGGATGGAACACAAGTCAAAACTATAAAATATTCATAATATGTTGAACCCGAGAGTTAAACGGAATAATAACTTGAGAAGCTTTAAAGTAAAAAAATGACTACAAAATTTGTCTTACTGGAAACCAGCATCAGTGTTTTTCAAATTTTACTGTCATAGAAAATATTGAATTTGTAAATAATGTGTGATGCAACAAACTTGGGAAAAATTTCAGGAAATATTTCTATCTCGTTATCACTAGGTATTTGTAATGTAATAATAATAATTGGGTAATGTGAGTGACTATAATTACTAATGTTGTATAAGCATACATCGTTGAATGCTGTTGAGATACTTGGATTAACGGTTGGGTAGTTGGTTGGTTGGATCATTTGGAATATACGAAATTTCAAATCTTCATCAGTATCGGTCGCCATCCGCATCACGTCCCGTCGCATTTTCACTGCATACTGAAAAATTACAAAATTTATGAGTTACATATTTGCGAATACTTTCTGCATGTGTTTAAATTATGTGTGTGTTGAGAATAGAAACAAGAAGTGAATACACGTGCATGTGTAGCTATTGTGTACGCTTGATTAAAATTAACATTAAAGTCATGACAGTTCAGCAGACAACACTTGTTCTGTCTTTACTTATCAATTAACCTCATAAGCTACACAAAATTTAGCCAGTATTTGCCAAAGTAAATAAATCATTCGATAAAGTGAACAGAATAAAACTGATAAGTAAATTATCAAATCAAGCAGTGTTATCAATTCCAATGCCAATGCCATGCCATGCACACAAAAAGAGATGATTATTATGCTGAACCGAACTTTGCAAATTCAGATTACTCCAACAATACAAGGTTGTCCTGTCTGTATGTGAACGGGTTGATTTGATATCGGGTGTTCCGTATAGCTTTAAAGAAGAAAGAGTATTAAGTTGCCCCGTTTTGCAACGGTAGTGCTCCTCACCTGACGTCTCAATTGTATGCCTATACGCACCCTGTAATTATCGGACCGGTCTGGACTTGACATTTATTGGCCTATCTGCTGAGTCAACATTTATTTTATAATACAATTCGCAAACAAACGCTTTATCTCAAAGTGCGAACTTGTTAAGTCAGATAGATCCGACGGCGACGACTATGCAAAACGGACGGACGGCTATTATTATCAATATGATGACGACGGATACTCACTCATGATTCTCAAAATAATGGGTGCAATTAAAACCCAACGTGTAGTATGCAGTAGCAGAGTGACGTTTATATTTCTAGTCATCATGGATGCTGATGGACATATTTGTATTAACTTTGCACGTTTGCATATACAAAAGCTAACGGGTTGTGTTAATTTTCAACCTTTGTCCTCAATACTGATTTGTTGGGGACTTGATGAGTGCATGGATGCTGCTGATGAGTGAGTAATGAAATCTCACATTCATTCATTCACTCACTCATCTTAATAGTGCATCAAACCAATTCAATTAATACCTGTGATTATTGGGGCTATTTATGTTAAATAACTTCTAAATAAAATGACTCATAAATACGTCAAAAATGCAATCAATCATGCGCTATGATAATTAATTGATGAGCTAAGCACACAATGTAACCCATTACTTTAAACTGTAGTATATAAGCATATCTAAATTAATTTGGTAATCATATACATCAATAAAATACCCACCTTTTAAAGGAAGCGAAACTTGGAAATCTGAAAACAAGACAAACAAGCAAAAATGAAAATAAATAGAATAGAAGGGTAAAAAACCATGCATTTTTGCATAATGCTTAGCTAATATATGCGAGCAAATTAAAGTATCAAAGTTATAAAATAAAGTACTCAAATTGCTAAAAACAAAAACTGGGCAACATTGGAATATGCAGCATGCAAAAGGAAAGGTGATGGGGATGTACTTTGAGATTTTATGCATGAATAGGTTTGATTCGGATGATGACGACGGGGTGAAAAGTAGTAAAAGTCAGTCACTTACTGAATCCCGTTTTGAATGTGATGGTGCTGGAACGCCTCGAGGTGTTTGTTGAATTCTCGTCCAAGCTGTTCTGGTAGCGCACCCACGTTGGAGAAGAAAGATCTGAGAAACGGTATTTGATTTTAATAATAAATATAGTGCCATGATGGACTACTTTTCAGCCTGCAATGCGTATTTCTCAAACTGCTTCAACGAGGTAAAAGGCTAAAATAAATTTTTATTATGCTTTGTTGTAAGTAACTATCCTTATCAAGCCACGCAGAAAAAAAATGCCAAACACAGATCTTGGAGCGCGTCAAGAGAAGGCTTGGGTTAAGCACGCCACAAACCTGATGCATTGTTTGTCTTATCCCGTTGAGTTGAGTTCTTTCCCAAACACTGTGCTGTTAGTACACGACTTTTCTCCCCCAATTTGTCACACTGAACCAGAACTAGGCAAACATGGATAATGCTCAGATTTTTCAACAATTACAAAATTACGATAACTTCGGAATTACAATACTTGCTTCCCCCCCTTTACCTATACCTGAGCTAGCTGAAATTTGGGAATGGAACACAAGAACAGGTCTACCAATCTTTGGAAATCCGGAAAGACGTAAGTGTTTTTCCATTATTTTTTTTTGCAAGTTGTATGTATAAGTTAATTACTAATAATATTTTGTGTTTGATATAAATATTTATTTAGCTTGGTCACGATATGTTGTTGATTCACTTATGAACCAACAATTAAGAGATGGGTTGGAAAGTAATTCTGAGGAGTTTCGAGTAACATGCTCAGGAAATATGAAACGGAAATTTCTGGGGGATTTGCTAAAGTCTGACATCAAAAAAATTCGAGTTGTTGATGACAAGAACGACATCATCATAAGGAAGACACTTCAACAGCTTCTACCATTCGACGACGTGTATGGAGAAGGACCTTTAAAAACGACAAAGAATGACTCCACTAATCCAAAAACTGTCCCAGGTATTTTTTTACATTTGTAATAATATAATAATAATTTATTACAATGAGATACCCCTGATAACAGGGTCATTACATCCCAAGGAGCATATGTTGTATGTTGTATGCAGCATATGTTTTAAATTAAGGCTTTCTTCCCAAACAGATTTGCTCATCGAGGTAAACCGCAATGCAGCGAGAGGGTATACTGGACCAGGCACTTTTCGATGCAGAGAGGGGCATTGCTTGGTTACTGGACCTAATATCTCCGGGACGCCCAACTCGATTCAATGGGGACCACAACCGCATCATAATTTGCCCCTCCGCAAAAGATTTAATTGCCAGTCTAACAACGTAGTGTATATGATACATTGTGTGGCCTGCATACGTAATGGAAACTGGAGTACATATATCGGGAGTACTAATTCAGTAAGTCTTTATGCAAATCTAACTTAATTTTGAACATATATTTATAAAATGTTAACTGTTTTTTATGAGGCCGAAAATATCCACCAGCGATTTAGTCAACATAAACAAATCGTATGCGATCAAACGCTGAGAGAATGGTACCCACCACCAAATCTAGAGGCAACAGTTTTGAGACGTTTGAATGGAGAAGAAGATGATGACGATTTGCTGCAAGATCCCTACATCCATTTTACCTATGTGCACACCCATGACGATAAGAGGTACACCCTTCTTGATGGAAATTTCCCAACAGATAGATGCAAAAATAGATGCGAATCGTATTATAAGCTTGTTTGTGGAAATTATGAATATGACCCATATACTTTGTCCGGCTCACTTAACAGAAAGAATTAATTGTAACTGTTTTGTTCTCGACCCAGGACTGACTATTGACTTGATTGTTGCTCTAAATTATGTGATTTTTTATATGAATTATATAATACAGTTGATGAATTTGTTATTTGTATTTTTCTACAGACGTTCCAATCATTAAATAAACTATATTGAATTGTAACCTGAGAAACGTCAACTCTTCCGTCAGCAAGTCAATCTTTTTCTGCAGACGCTCATTTTCTTTGCACAATATTTTGACCCTTTCCTCCGTCTCACGGGAACGAAGCTTGGCCTTTTCCCTACTTTTCCGAACCGCAATGTTGTTCCTTTCCCTCCTCCTCTTGTACTCGTCCGACGCCTTGTCCACGTTCTTCAGCTTCTTGCTCAGGTGGTGGTGATGGTTCGAGTGGCCGTGAGAATGACCCAACAACTTTTGACTCGGGTGTCCTCCGTTGAATGTGAGGACCTACGTGATAATAATGATCATGATCATCATGATAGCATGTAAAATGGTGGGATTCGCTTGGAAACAGTATGCTCTGGTATGTACACAATATGCCCTCTTCGAACATGTTGATTAATCGAAAGTAAACAATTTTTGTCTGCACTTACCCCATTTTTCCCGACGGTAAGCCCTTGTTCCGCACCCTGGTGGTGATGAACCCCACCCATCTGATGAATGTTTCCTCCGCCATAGGTTGGTGAGTACGAGCTGCCCCCACCACCTCCCCCACCCCCAGAGCTGCTCGTGCTACTCGTGCTCGAGGGTGAGGTGAGATTGTTGGATGAGGAGTATGAGGAATATCCAGGGTCTGAGGAGGATGATACCGTGTTGGCATTAAAGTCAAGTCGATGATTATCCATGGGTTCAGATTTAACGCCTTCTCCACTCTCACCTCCTCCGCCTCCTCCTCCTCCGTGGTTCATGTGGGGGCTGGATGAAGGGCTGGAACTCGCAGAATTCGGGGCGAAACTCCCTCCATGCACGGGTTGTGGGAGGTACGCCAAGGGATTGCCGCCACTGTGTCGAAAGTGTTGCTGCTGTTGACCATTGTTGTGATGGTTATTGTTGTGTTGCTGTTGTTGGTGGGGGTGGTGGTGATGAGACTGGGTGTGAACGAGATGGTTCCTCAGACTGAGTTGAGTGTGTGCCGCGGATCCAGACACCTTATCTTGAAGAAGTTCAGGGAAGAGTCCCTCGCTAACCTCAAAGTTGGGATCATCGATAAGGCTTTGAAGGTCGAGGGATAACTCTGGATTGTCCAGATCTGAGGGGTCAATTTCACCTTGGTTCGAGAGGAAGGATCGCACTTTGACAGAGAGAGCTGCCTTCTTCAAGTTTTCGATTCCAGTGTCATACATGATGATGTCTGCTTTACTTTTATGGTTACGAGTAACTACGTTGACAAAAATGGGTATTGAAGAAATAAGTTATTGGTTGCAATCGTCGAATAAAAATCCATCACACAAGAACAAAATTGCATTTACATTATTTCCTTGACTGTTGTGAATAAGTTGCTTGTTTGAAATTTCAAAAACAAACACAAATGTAATTGTCAATTGTTTAGAATGAAAACGAGAGTGAGTTTGAGTGAATGAGCGAGTGAGTCTGGCTAATTGGAGAGTCGCACTTTTTTATTTTTTGTTGTTTGGCTTAACCCAGTTTCTTTCTCTTTGGTGGAGCCGGTATAATTGTAGAATAACGCAGCAGCAGTTGTGATTAAATAACCTATTGTCTCACCACAACATTATTATAATCGCAGAGGAGGCAGTCACTTTTTATTTTACTTGTTTTAGTCACCAACTAAGTACAGCGACCACGAAATAAATGCTACTTCCGTATTTCCTTAAAGTCTCACATTTCCCACATTTCTCACTCAAAAACTAAGCTTCACGACTTTAGTGTCTGTTTCGTTACTGGTTTCCTTGTTTTTATTAATCCAGTTTTTAATACACTTTTAGACGAAAAAAATATATATTTATTTCGGCTGTAACAGTTTCCAAAATTTTGAAATATTCCAAGTTCAATTTTGTTTTTGCTATATTTGACACAATTTGGTTTCACTCTTGTCAGTCGCACCACGGACTGCCAACTACTGGCTGAGCTTCTTCCTCGTCTCAACTTTGCGGCTATGCAGAGATGGAATATGTGTGCCTGTCTGGCTCACTATGGAGTTGACAGAATATGACCAATTTGTTTGTGTGAAGGATAATTTGAAAATATTTAGGTTGACTTAAACCGAAAATTTGCGGAGGAGTTGTTGTTCGCGATACGTTCGCTATGGGTGTCGAAAGGGAAATGATTTGGGTGGAGGTAGAGCAATGCTACAAAAGCATGGAGTGGAATTATCAAACTTCAACCCTTTTCCCCTTCTCCACCACCAAAAGCACCACTAAAAACTCTTATGCCATCAGGTTATGCATGTGAGACTTGTGAGTTGGGTAGTTGTGTGTGGGAATCAGACAGTGGTGCTGCTGACTTATTCGTGTGTGCCTCACTCACGTATTGAACAATGATTTACTTTACTTTTACTCTTAACATTATTTAACGTTGGCCTGCATTGTGCTAATGTTATGTCATACGACGAGGAGGATGATGTTAGTGAACTACTTTTGCTTGACGCTGGTGGTGGATTGGATGTGCAAAATAATGCAGTTGTTGTACATGTAAGGCAAAGAGGAAATGCAGGTAGGATGCCAAAAGTGGAGTCCCGACACACATTATTCGTATAACTTGTATTACATCCATGTAATATGCGCAGAGGGTATGAATTTGTGGAAGTCTGTTAGTGAACTAATTTCGATTATTGGAGTCTAGGTTAAGATTTCATTTCTTAATTTGACCAGGAGCGAGTCTATGAAATCTCGCGATAATATGAGACGAACCAACCTGGAGGTGTTGTGTTAGGGGTGGAAACCGTTGAAACGGGTTGCTGGGGAAATTGAGATTCTCGGGAAATAGGTGAAACGCGTCCGTTCGTTTCTTCAATATGTTTGAGAAACCGCACAGTTCTATTATTAAAATGATTTAATTTGCATATAGACTGGCATAGGTTCATAAGAACGTCTTAATCAGTCGGAAATGGTAAGATACCAAGGCAGTTATAAAATTAAAGTAGGTATTTCCATTTTATCCCCATTGCAGATTTTGGGATCGCATATCTGGATTTGTTTTATTTATTTATGTATTTAATTAAGTATAATTAAAATAAGATTAATAGGATAAGAGGCCGATGCTTTATTTCGAAAATCGAACGGATGAGACATTAGGACATAATTGATATATTTTATTACAATCAGAATAACACGGTGCGTCCGACTAATTACACCATCAGTATTGTACTCATTTTGCAAAATTTCCATAAAAAACAAGAGTGAAAAGGATACGATCCAATCTAAGATGATGGGATATCAGCAGCCGCATATGGCACGCGTGTGTACTTTGGGAGGTGGTGTGGGAGATATGCCATTTAAATTGGACTTGTATTCATCAATTAAGGAAACAGAGCGGACCAATTCTCTTCCTCTTTATGAATGCATTTCTATTGTGCACGCTCAGCATGTCGGGTAAAAAAAGTATGCAATAATAATATTTCGCATTAATGTCATAATGTTATGCAACGCATTATTCTCATGGGAAGAAAACGATGATGGGGGTTTTGAGATAACTGTGAGATTTGAGCTTGTTTGAAAGATTACTATATTTCATTTCATGACAAATACGTTAAGATAATGTTTTTGTCACTTTGTGATTTTATGTGCTTCAACTGGAATATTGAAAATATTGGCAATATTAGAAAATATATAGTTTTAAATATATGTAAACACTGCTACCAAAAGCTAAGAAGTTTTTAAATGTGAAAATATTGGGGACATTAATAATGCGTAGCTTTAGAGCGTTTCACTTTCAATTTCATGTTCTTGTACCCCATGGTACTTGACAATAGAAGTGAGTAATATTAATAATACGACAAATATGCATACAACACATCCCCTTCTACATTGTTAGAGAGTAACGCCAGTAGCAGTAGTACTACAACGAGTTGCAGTAGTGACCCACTTACCTTCCTGCTTCTGCAAAAGATTATTAGCCCGTATCGACTTACACTCGATCTCCCACTCCATTATAATTATGTTGGGATTTGATGCATAACCTGTTGCGCATTATGCAATGCAACTTATGATTATCCAAATTAAATTAACTCGAATGCTGGTCGTCAACTTGACTTGGTTTGCTGGGTCTGACCAAAAGAAAACAAGCTCAGAAAACAGGTCTTTAACTCGCTCAGTCATCAGCAGTGTGTGTTCGCCACCACGTCAATAAGCCATTTTATTATTACATCACCGCAAATCAACACAAACTTCTTCCTACTTTTTTCCTCTGTTTAAATAGACTGTCCTCTTTTCTGTTGTTGTGGTGCTTTCATGCACCTGTTTGACCTCTTTCAATGTTCTATCGATCAGGTCTTGGATAATGTGAGAAGAAGAGCAAATTGGGAACCGGAGATTGCATGTCTCGATCTTCTCCAAATGTATCTTCAAGTCGTGCAAAATTGCAGGGCTCCAGGAAAGGTTTTATTTATTGGTTTGTGATTTGCAGCATTTTACACCAATTTGAAATGACGGTGAGATGAAATGTCATCGATGAGGTAGTAATACGCATCTGTGCTCTGCAAATGGTGTACTTCAGACGTCTTATTGTTTTTAAAAATAAGAGACAATCAGATATATTTTGATTGACGTAGATTGGTGTTCATGTCTCTAACGTGGAAGTGGTTTGGCTGGATAGAGGTAGGATAAATAGACAAATGTAAATATAATGAACGCGTGGACGTACAACTTCAATAATGATTCACGACAAGGATCTATTGGTACATGGTTTTCAATAAGTCTTCTATTTATGACAAGAGTTATATTTTCAGAGCATTGCTAAAATACTCAAAATTCAAAATCCAAACACTGCCTGTAGGACGGGGAACGTTTTCCTTATTCACTATTCAACCTGAAAATATGGAAATAGTGAGAGCCATTCCTCAAAAACAATCTTCATTGCGAATGTGCATACATGTGGAGGTTTTACAAGTCTATATTGTCAGATTTAATAAATGCGTAACGTCAAATAAGTATGCATACAGATTTTATCCATCTTCATGCCACGACCAACTACTGAATAATGACTAAATCTATACGAAATTGAACCATTTTTATGTGCATCGCACTAAATAATTTAAAGATATATGCTCTTGATCTTCGTCTTAATTTCAATAGGTGCAATAACCCAGTCGCTAAACTGCACTCATTCTTCATTCCTTTCAAATAAAAATACATATCTACATATGTACATACATACATATTACATCTGGGAAACATACAACATCGCAATTCGCAAATGATATTGGGATTTGTCAAAAATATCCTCGACAGGATCGATTTTGCTAATTTTGAGCGATATATACAGAACCATGTTGGAACTACATATTAAATTCGCATCGGTGTGTATGTGTCAATCCAAGCAACTTAAATATTGTAAGAAAAGGAAGATCGTAAGGAGAAGTTTCGGTGTGTATTTTTCTATAATTTTCCAAAATCCACTAGTGCTTACAACTTGGGAGCTTCATTTTAAATGCGGAAGTTGCACTTTTCTTAATTACTCTGAGCAAGAAAATGAGCAAACGTAATAAAAAATATAAAACTTTGCATTGCGATCACTACTAGTGTGACACGCCCGATTAAAACGGTTACTTAATAAAAAGCAATGTTGGAAGTGCAAAAGTTTGCCATTTGTCACTTTGCATGATTAGCTGGCTTTAATCGGCCGAATGGCAAGGTGATATTTGGATGCATACAGGCATCCCTTGCCTGGAGAAAATTGATGAAAATCAACTGAAGGTCTGCGATAAGTTGGCAGACAAATCTATCGTTGGACTTTGGCGTTGTTGGCGATCGTGGTTCTGAAGGGGAAACGTGAGAGCAGCACCTCACTGGCGCAGACAAAGAGAAAGAGTCGGAAGGGAGTCTCCATCACAAACGTTTAAACTAAACCAGATAGTTCAATCAAAGCCCAAAAACATTTTTTAGCACATTTCCTTCTGGAACAATTTGTCATGAACACGTGAAAAGTATGTGTACCCGTGTCCCCAAAATATTGGCACTTTAGAACCAAATTATACATCAGTATTACCAGGATTATCTATTATGTATGTAAATACAACATGAGACATATAAAACCTAATATTACGGAGACTTGGTATTTTAACTGATACCTTTCTTTAAAAGAGAACACAAATGGCTTTATCAGTTTTGGAGAAATCCTTCCTTTAAGCAACAAAAACAACGCATACATGATGTTTAAAATTCGAACAATGTTCATCTAAAATTGTAAATATTAATATAAATATTTCTACTTCAGGCGACACAGTTTTTTTAAACATGACATATTGTAAAATGGTAAAACAAGGTCCCTTCACATTCTCATTGGTTCGAAATCCTAGCTTTGCAGAAACATTCTGTGCCCTCAGCAACTTCCTCCTTTTCTAAATACACGCCACGCTATGTGAACGCCTCTCGTTCACAATAGCATAATCGTCGAAAAGAGAGATTTCAGTGGTGGTGTTATATTATTATACGTTGTCGTACTTTACTTACGTAGCCCACTGCTGCGAGAAGAAATTGTGAAATCGTAGATGACGAAATCTCAAGCCAACCAAAAACCAACCAGCCAACTCTGGCTCCAGTCCACCTTTCTCCAGCCTTACTTACTTATGTACCACGGCAGTTCTTCGGACAAAATCATAATAGTCATTCATACAGTCAAGTTTAACCAACAACACGAATATTATCATCCCATCGCAATCAAGGAAGTGAAAATTTCTACAACTAGGAAGTAAATACTTTAGGGGAGAAACCAGCAAACGGAGGATTGCAACATCAAGATTACAAGCTACACACGCACTACAGGTAAGATTTCATATGAAAAGAAGAAGCCCGATTTACAGAAAATTTAGAAAATTTTTGCTAAAGTAGAATATTCTCGATATTAGAGAGCGGTGACAAGTTTTTATATGTTGTTTCGTAGTTTATCATAAAAATTCTGATTTAGCTTTATTATTTGGTTTGGATAGGCTAATTTGTCGTTGGTGGGAGGATGGGGTCAAAAAAGAAGGGTTCATCAGGTCCGGAGAAGCACTCGATGGAGGTATTTCCCAATATATTTATATATATATTTTGTGAATGTCTTTATTATATATTGACTCACGAACCCTTTTGTATAGTACAAGGAAAAGAGGATGAAGAACAACGTCGCCGTGAAGCGGAGTCGGGACAAGAGCAAGATGAAGGCGCGTGAGGCGCAAAGTCGTGTCCAACAACTTCAGGTAACATTTTAATATTATATGATTTATTATATGATGTTTATTAGTACGATCAGAAACTAGTTAAAACATTAACTCAACTCTTTGTACTAACAAGATATATATTTTCAGGCCCAGAACGAGCACCTGCACAACACGGTGGACTCCATGGTAACCAACAAAAACGATAAGATGCACAAAGTATTTCAAAGTAAGCAGTGTCAAATTGTATTGAAATTATTTTTCTTCTTGGCAGACCTCTGAACTGCGGTACTTGAAGGACTTGCTCATCTCACAAGCTGGTATAGTTAAGAGTTTGAAAAAATTTCGCTTAAAGGGTCTTATCAGCTTACCTAAAATTGATTTGACTTAGGAACCTCTGAATATTTGAGTCCTGATACGGCTGCAGATCTGGAGGATTTGTTGATGGATGACGCACCACGCGATTTGGGAAAGCTGACCTCGGTTTTAAATGAGGTGAAACGCATTCAAGCGATTCAAAAGAACGGGATGGAGTCTATTGGGAGTCATCAGCAGCAGAATCATCTTTATGCTGCTGGAAATGCTTCGAGTTCCGGCTACTCTCAGATGCACATGTACAACGCCGGTGCTGACGTATTTGATGCGAGTAATCCTTACTTGTAAATTGCAGGGGACATTATGTAATATAGACGAATAAGAAATAGTTTATTGGTGTTTATTTTCTTGCTAATCTCATATATGTAGCAATCTAGAAATATTTAAAAAAGTTAGCTAGCACATTTCTGGTTTTGAAATACTTAAGATTAGAGTTTCTTGTGAATCATACATTTTTCTGAATTCTTATTCACTATTATTTGTGTGTGATGTATTCAACGTTACCGAATTAAGATATTGTACAAGTTGTTTGTGAACTTTGGCCGATTAAGCAACACTCTTTAACTGTCCAACTACACGTATATGCACACACCTAACCAAATATTATTTTTGTCTATCTGTGGTAACTACTTAATTCATAATCTACATTTTTACATTGATTTTGTTGTTTAATGTGTTATTCCTCAGCTAGTAATTTCTATGTTATTAAATGACATAAAACGCATATTGTATTCTGATTTGTAATTTCGGAAGGAACTTTTATTTTTTGTATCGATTCACTTTTAAATGCATACTACAAATAATATAAATATATGACGCCAGAATATTATCAATGTGTACAATTTCAATTCAAATATTCATATAAAATACTATTCGTATGTATTACAACAGGTTTAAAAGTTCACCATTATTCGAATATTCTATATAAGAGTAACTTTGACTCACTTTAGCTTTAAATCAGTAACGGCATATTTTTTTGATTAGTTAATTTCACGTGGTTTATTGTCTGTGTATGAAGGTATTTGTGTACAGTAAAAAAACGAATTGTCTCGGTGACTCGATATTACCAATTAGTAGTTTGTTACAAATAAAGAATAAATGTTGGTGGATAAAAAATGTTTCATATGTGGCTAATTTAATATCTAAACCTAAATCAATTAAATAGTTTTCATATTATTGCATTGAACTATGTATTTCCAAGTTAATTTAGGATCCTTAAAATTAGCTAGGATTCAAGTATATGATTTACATACGTGTGTACATATTTGGAGGAAACCAAGATTCATAAGCCCATTCTCGTCATAATTTATCCAGGCTTCACTTAATCACGTAGTGGAACCAATTCAAAGAATCCTTGTCTGGATGTCGGATAACCAACTTGCACGAGGTTCAATTATCTGGTCAATAAGTTACATTTCTCCCAAGTCATTGAATAGTTTCAATACTGCATTATTATGTTTCCATGTGTGTGTAATAATAAGGCCACCTGAAAGTAAGCTTCCCAAACGCTTATTAAATACCATTTCCTTGACAAAAAATTGATCCGAATGGGAATTGTGCCAAATTGATATTGCTACGAGTTTGTATAATTGCCGCAAATTTGCCAAAGTCATGATTTACCCAAGAATTGAGGTTATTGAGAATCAGAATGTGTATAATGTGACATCAAATAATAAGTACATGATTTTCCGAAAAATCTAAATCCACCAGATAAGGTTTAACCAAACCCTCCCCCATGAGAAATATATGTAAGTATGCATAAACGTAGATTATGAAATGAAGAGTAGAATTCCTGTACAAATCCAAGGGGATTTAATAAATAGTGAGTCATATCCACGATTGCAATAATTATCTACGTATAATACGGTATTCGCAATCCGAAAATGGCATGGACATTGAATAATTCCACAAAACCATAAGATTATAATCCATATAAAGCATTAGCGAAATAATAAACACATAAAACTTATTGTGTGTCATAAATTTTGAAATTGAGAATCCACGTTTGAATGACGTAAATTTATTATATTGACCGTTCACGATGCCTATCACACATTCAGCTCCTCCGGTTCCTCATCAGTATAGAATTGAATTTATGTAATACAGCTTTTCAGCAGATTTCTTTCTAAAATGATCATTATGAGGAAATTGATCTTATAAATACGTAAAGAAACCTGCAAATTTTTTTCTTACTAAATACATACGTGGAATTTTTTCTTCTGCATATCGTAATAATCGAAAAGTGTATAAAACTATAATCTCAGACTCAAAGCTTGCCGACACAAGAGCAAAAAGCTGTTGTCTGCAAGGCTTAACTGACTTTTGGATTGGAAACTAGCCGGAGAATCCAGCATTAAGCGAAATTAAATAGATTGACATCCAGCAGAAATAAAGTGCCGAGATAACCAAGTAACGTATCCATGTTACAACACTGGCTCCACGGCAAAGTGGAAAGTTGAATCTACTTTGCAGTTCAATTGACACTGACAACCACGACTATCAATTACGAAAGTCTATTAATAAAATTTGCAAATATTTTAAGCAAACTTGAATATTTAAAAAATAATTAGACCCGTAATGCCTATACATCACAAGCAGGGGACTCATTTTGGTTTGGCATTTTACGACATTGAAGCGACATCATGAAACGAATCCTGGGTAGCATATTTATTTGCTTTGTCCATGTCTCTCTCACTTTCTCTCCATGTCACAAGGACAGCTCTGAAATAAGTGACTTGTGCTGTTTCCGAGTATCATGATATAAATTTCGCATTTCACTGAACTTATCTTGACATATTATATTCATTGGCGAGTTTGCGGCGCTACGCTATTGCCACGACTCTACTCAAATCAAAATCATCTCGCTCGAGAGTAAACTTGGAACATTTTGCCCGAATTTTACAAAGGACAAGCACAGAGATGTATATGTAGTAAGTGTAAAGTAAAGGTAGCATCACTCCACACACATACATGCATTCAAGTAAAATGAGGTGGAAGTAAATGCTCTGTAATTTTTGTTACAGATACGGATATACAACAAGATGCATGCATGTATATTGAATTAACTTGGTTGTACTTGTACCAGAAATTGTACCACCAGCAACAAAACTCACATTACATTTCAACAGTAGTGCATTACGGCAGTAAAAACGAGGCAGAAGCTTCAGAAGAGGAGACAAGAGGTGAGTTAAAAGAGATAAGCATATCACATCACATCAAAAGCAGTAAAGGGTTGCATTGCATGACCAGAGAGATGCAAATAAAACTTGCTTTTAAACCAGCCCAACCACCATGTCCTGCCAAATCTACTGATTCACAACATAATTTTCGCATTGCAATTTCAAACCCATGTTATCCACGTCTCATCATCCTCCCCAGCAAAATGGTTGAACTCCTCACAAAAGCAAGTCTTGGTGTTCAAACCTCCACGTACACACCTCTTCTCTCTCTCTCTCTTAATAGCTATCTGCTATCTGCTGGCTTTTAATATACCAACAAGACCAGTTCAGTTTTGCTTTACTTATTTGCCCTTAGCCCATGCATGCAGGAGTCAGTCGGCAAAACCTTGCGACTCTCTTTCCTCCACATAGCAGTCGTGCCATTACGACCAGAGCATTGCCTGTGCTCTATATATTATTATATTCCCATGTAGTCTTTAGTTCAGTTTAGTTAGTGTCTCTCCTTCAACTTAGCACGAGCAGAAGAGGCAGTAGGCCGAACAGAAAGAGTTAAAGTGAGTGAGACCACGGGAATTGCTATTGGATTGTGCGCAGAGCGAGTGCAGAAATTCGCAAGTCTTGTACCACACCAACCAACCAACCAGCCAGCCAACATTGGATGGAGGAGATTGGATATTTAGGATCTGCTGGATTCAACATTTGCACAAAGTGAGACGGGCAGACAGGACAGACCGTGAGCTCAGCCAACAACCTCTTCTTTCTCCATCCAGCTTCTTCGCAAACCAGCACATTACACCATATTCTTGGTCTTTTTTTCACCAATCTCTCCCAATCTCTCTCCCACCACCACTGGGAGAAAACACCTCTCGTCCGCCCCACAGGATTTTATTTCGAAACATTCCCCCCAAGGAGAAAGCAGTCGTCCGTTGTTCGAGGACCGTCACCACCAGTGAAAGCAGAGGGGAAAAGCGAGGAGGAAATTGGAGTGATTGGAGAGAGGAGAATAATGCATCTAATCTCAATGTAAGTCAGTCCATGCAGAGAGTCAAGTAAGTAAGTGAGTGAGTGAGCAGAGAAGTGGATGGATCGACGACGACGAGTATATTGTTGTCTTCATTTCCCTAGATCAACACACACACCCAATTCGCAAATTCGCTTTTCCTTCATCTTACACCACTAAAACCAAAAACACTCAAATTGTGAAAACACATCAGCCTTCCTACACACACACCAAGTGGGAGGTGGGAGCGAGCAGCTAATAAATAGGATAAAACACAAGCCGTGCATTTGTGTGTGTGTATCTGTGTGTGTCTGTGTAATGGGGATTATTTGGTAAATAATAATAATTCAGGCTGGATATTATTATCATATGTGTGTGGTGGCCGACTCAAACAGAAGCCTATGGCACAGCAGCAGATATGTGAGAGGAGGAGGAGAGAGAGCTCTAATTGGTATCAATTTGATTTAATGTTGGAAACGATTATTAAAAGATGGCTAAAGTGCTTTATGGGTTAATTTGTGCAAGAAGCACGAGAGGAAAGTGAGAAAAAGTCTTGGGTTTTATGGTGGTCTTGGGAAGATTTTTTCATGTCTCGGTCTCTCTGCAATAATTTTGGACTAGGTTTAAATAAATAGATCGGCAGAGATATTCTTGCCAGCATATCGACTACTTTTCCTGTCCGGATTCGATTGTTCAATAAGTACTGAAATTTTAATTACTTGCAATGTTCGCCATTTCAAGTTCAAAATAGTTAAATAAATTATAAATTCGGCACCACAATTGATTAATTCCAAACACCTTGTTATGCAAACAATTGGGGATTCATTTATTTGGATAAGGGCACAAGTATCTAGAACAGAGTGGAAAAGTTTTCTCAGATTATTATTGCAAAAGCCTTTGACGTTGTCTACTGCCTTAGTAGTAATGCCTTTTGAATGTCTGTAATTACCAACATATTTTCCTCAGCACCTTCCTCTACAAATACAACACCATAGTTTTCATGTCTTTAGGACTGTATGTACATACAAATCATATTCAATGTACATCAATCCTTCATGATGGAATTTGACAGAATTGCTCCACTCTGTTTTGCTACTGATTGCTGTAAATTGCCCAAAATTTCCGGCATTGCTATCCATCCACCAACCATGCATCACACTCTTCTTGCGAGTTTTTGTTCTTAGAAATTTAATTTGGTGTGTGGTGTCTTGTGTTATTTCATGCTAGAAGCAAAACGAAAGATCTATGTATTTAAAATTCATAACGTAAATGTTTTATATTTCTGTGAATATTTCGCATGCAATTTTAAATTCCGAGCATACGTTAATCAATTCATATCATCTATTTAGCAAAATTCCATTCATACGAATACAGCATAGAGTACACATAATCACCACAAATCTAATCTAGTTTAAAGGCAGTCCAATTAAAAACACTGAAGACGCCAAACAAGGGTCTTGATTCTTTGTCACGAAAATGCGCTTTGTAAATATTTGCTGTAACTTGATCAAAAGTTAAGTGGTGGAGTGCCATTAGTCCATGGCAACTGTGGACACTGAATTGGAGTGACACATGTATATATACATATATGTGTATGAATATATACATGAATGGATGTGTGCAGATGAATGAATATGAATGAGTGAGGGAATGTGGTATGCCTGCGTATAGTTAAATATTTAGTAATAACTTTCAAGTATTTCAATTTGTCTCTCTCGATGTTGTTGGATTGTTATGATATTTTCGACATAATTTGCATATGTTGCAAGGTCCAAATCGTATCGTACTAAGTATCGTATTTTTTGTTTGTTTACGGTTTCAGAAATCTCGTGGACCAAGCCAGCTGGTCCTGGTGTGTGTGACAATCATTTTTCAGAATTGATTTTTCAAGAAGGGGCTCTTTCACAACAGGAAAATTGTGAACACGATGTGGTGCTAACATTGAAATTATTTTGTTGGCAATCTTATTAAACCTGACTGAAAATGGTGCAATACTACAACTAAAATTAATCACAATTCCTGCTGGACTCGGATATATTTATTAGCGTAAGAGAAAGTCAATACCGTTTTAGTGGCGAGTCTGTTCATTTCTCCTTCACACAATCAATGTTTGTCGATCTGAGCTTAAAATAGTAGAATAAGAAAGAAAGAGAGACGGGACGAAAGAGAAGGTCAAGTTGAAAGTGCAGAAAATACTAATAAATAAAGTGCTATCGATAGTTAAGCAATTTGCGGACAGACTCCAACTTGTGGAAGGATCGGAGGAGGAGTTTTTGTGATACTGTGGTTGGAGTTGGTTGAGCCGAGCCCCTTATGACATGGGGTGCTTCGGTGGCAGTGGCTCGAAAAACGACCAAGAGGAAGATAAGCGGAGGAAGGAGGCGAATAAAAAAATTAATGCACAGATCCAGAGGGACAAACAGATCTACAGGGCCACACATCGGCTTCTCCTACTGGGTAAGTACACACAGTTTTCATTACCTATTCACTGGAAAATAGGCCAGTTCTTCAGTCTGGATAAGCAAGAACTAGCTGTAAATACATAGTAATCATTTTAATTTTGGTTTGAGACACGAGATCTGGATTGCAATCCAGGATTGCTTGGCACATAATGTAGATAAATACGTATATATGTGCAGGTAAAACAATAGTGATGTGGCAGCGTATGGGGATATATTTATTTGGTTGGCGTTATACATGCATGCATGCATACATAGGTACATACGTTGTGTGTATGTGACACGTCGTCTTATCACCGAACGAACGGATTATCCTATCATCTCATCTCTACACATATGCAAATATTTATAAGAGTTGTCTGGCGAAATGGTTTTTAAAATTGGGTATTCGTATCTAGCAAAAATAATAATTCTGTTTCATCATAACAAAATGCCGTGGACTTTTTGGGGATTTTAGAACCGAATTCATATAAGAATATTTATTTAGCAGGAGAAAAGTGAAGCTGATACTTGAGAAATTCACTCTTTGCTCATGAAGTCAGTCATTTATTCAGGATTCTTGGAGATTTTTGCGGTTGGGGGATAATGAGAGACTTATATTTCTTTCATTAGTAACGAGCAATTTCATAGCATTTATGAGAACAGGAGGTGTTTTAGAAAGGAGAACCCGGATCCGCGGAATTTCGCAGAAATCATCACGTTTGACTAGAATATGTCTCTCGATTTATCCTTCCGTGTGTGTACAACATTCTGCCTTTGATCTAGACTGAATGGGTAACAAGGTATAGAAATATTTCGATTTGTAAACATAATAATAAACGCGATGTCCTCATTACTTCTCGTCCCAGGATGACTACTCGTTCAAACTCTCGGCATAAGTGGAACTCGGAGCGTTGCACAATTTAAATCAATCAAGATACGATTAAGGAATTTTATTTTTTAATCTCACATTCATATCATTCTCAATATACGCACTCGAACCTCTTCTTGTTTTCTTTGTCCGCTCTATTCACGAAGGATTTCTCATACTCATGCAGGACGCTCATTAGTATAATTCAATACGCTTCTCGTGGATTTGTTGGTGAAAAAGAGTTGAAGACATACTTTACATATTGTCGTCAATATCAAATTATTTTCAGAATCAAACATAAGAAGTGTAGAGTTGCATATTTGGTACGTAGTTCGTCCCAGCCATAAGTACTGCCGCGTTTTTTAGCACTTCCCCAGGATATCAATCAGAAATGCTAATTGCTGAACGACTACAAATGCAGACATGACAAAGCTTTTATTATAAGCTATGGATCAATTTTCTTTATGCCACTAAAAAATCTGCAAGTCAAGACGTTGTGATAATGTCCATCAGATGGAACTTCTTCGTGACAGTAATGGGGACGACGGAATCAGATTTCGTCTGGCGCTGGCCAAACTGGATTCAATTATGTAATTCTATCTCATATTCACACAACAGCGGATGGTTAACTAGTCTATTTATAACTATTTTCAATTTTATTCAAATTGACAAAAGTTATTCATATGTACCATTCATAATTAATGCTTTACTACCTGACCTACGCGTCAAGTACAAGAGCCAAAGTTCTCCTGAAATGAGTTACGATCACGTTACGATGCTGTTGTCTTGACTTTTAGAACAAGTGAATCGATCAATACATGAAGTTTGACTACCTACCAAGACCAGCCGCCGCGGTTGAGTAATAAGGATAACTGCTGCAGACGAAATAAAATTAGATGACTTATTATGTTTCCCTTTCGAAATGACGGATACAGGAGAAGGTGATGTTATGCACTAATATGGACGCTACAACCACACGGTGTGAACGTGGACAAACCGATAAACATTCCATTGACCATAAATATAATTTTAAATATTGATTGTCACTTTAGAAGGATGTATGTACACACATGCGAACGTGATGAATGAGACGAATGCCGTCTGACATGACATGCTGACATTGACATTCGTTCCTGAGCTTGCTTGCTTCTATTTTATTATGGCTGGTCACATTAAATGAATGATTTACAAGAATTTTCGTGCAATCCTATGATTCAGCACTGTTCTGGGATACGAAGGGAATACGAAGGACAATTCAAACGTGAATTTGCAAAAATGCTTTATACTTCATTTGCGATCAGTTCTAAATACTCATTCTCAAATAATGTGTGTTAGTCCAAGCTTTGTTTTGGAAGATTTGTTTGTCTAGTCTTTTTTTTATTCCTGTTCCAAGTTTTTATCCAACAGTACAACTATTTAACTATTTTGTTTTGCACGTTTTCATGTAAATAAATATGTTGGCTAAATCTTAAGATTACTTGGCGTTTTTATGATACATCTGATGTTCTTGCCGTTTCATGGGTTACAGTATTTAGATCCAGACAATCTGAGGAGCTGGGTTGGCTCTGAACCCAACACTCTCATCGTCTCGTGCTTGCGCTGGCTTTGCTGGCATATTTGCTTGCTAATAAAGCCCATGTTGACAACCTTGTTTCTTAAAATAATACTGGACTAGGGAACATATTAATATAATGATCTCGATAGAAGGAACAGCACAGACACGTAGATGTATAGATATAGGGACGCCTAGAGCAGTGTTCAAATATCAGTTTAACGAACGGATTCCACCCACTGCACTACCGAGCCAACTATACGAATGTACATATTTATATGCTGCTGAGCAAGATTAAAACATATATGCACCTCATTTGGTAGACGACATAGTCACACATTATTATTGTATTAACGTGATTGCTCAAAAGTAAAATATTCAACTGCAAATTTAAGTAAGACAGGGATTATCCTTTTAAAAATGGCCAACAACTACATATTATTAATTTCGCGATAGACACATATGTTCAAGTAGAATATATAGAAGAATGCATATCACTACGTTATTTTTTATATAATCCTGTAAAGTGACTAACACCATGATGGGAAATCAAGCCAATCTACTTTTGGTGTCCAATCTATACACATACTTTGCTCAGCCAGCGTCATACCCAAATTCAGCAAATGCATATTTAAGTATGTGTGTAAATGCTGAGCCGTCTGCTTGTTACGTTTATTTTAAATACGAACTCCACCTTGTTTGTTATACTTTGTCAACTTAGTTCCACATTGTTAGTAAAACATGCGATACTTGCATAAAATTCAGCGAAATAAAAATCTCTGCAGGCAACACTGGTAATAAGTCAGTCAACTGTGTCTCCCTCACATTAAAATAAAATCCAGATTCGACCATACATGTCAACTGCCAAACAAACCATCAAGGACTTGACGTACGTGATGCAATTCCCAATTAGGTCTATGCGCCATTAACACTTGGAAATATTACTTTACTACCTCGAATCACATATACTTTGACAACAACTTTTATTGTACAGTGGAATAAATGACAGTCAGAAAATGGTTGAAGGGTTTGTGCGGATGGCAATGTTCAAAATCTCTTTTCAAAAAACGGCTACAAGAATTTACGAAAAATATTGCGAGTAACCGGATATAAATTTATTAATTCTTATGTAATTGCCCATTTGTCTACAAGACATTTGTGCGAATTTTGTTATGAGTCAACGTCTGAAGAAGTTCTGGCACATGGTAGATTCAAACCACGTCCTGATTAGGTAGTTATACACAATTATTGATTGGACTACATTGTGTCAACACTTGACATGTTTATTGACACTGTAATACATAATACGCAATATGGGAGGTAAACTGGCCGATAGACTGCCATTCATTGTATTTATTAAACTTGGTAACTCTTACTGTGAGAGTGTAGCCCTTAAACAAAATCGAGTCAAGAGTTGTGCGACAATAAAATTAATAAAAATTCTAAACAATTTCATGTCTAACAACTTCCACACACATACTTTTGTAAAGCAGGTTTACTACGAGAATGAGACTTCACTTTCACATAAAGTTTGAAAATAGAAACTCTGCACATGCTTTCCTTATGCTATACATACTTAAATGAATGTATGTAACAATTAAAAATCACAATTAAAAATTATTGACTCTAAAATTTGACACCTCCAAAAGTCCAAAGATGAGAGAACAATTAGGTAGTTTTTTTAATTTATTAACGGCTCACTCTGTTTTCGAATGACTGTCGACTTTTTACGGTGAATGAGTCACTCATCATTTAGAGTAAAATTGAAACTAACTCTAAAGCAGACTAATGCAGTTCCACGAATAATCCTTACGTATTCCTTGTTAAACAACATAATTCACTTCATGTCCAGCAAACGAGTGTCAAAATAACCATTGGGGAATATGCCGCGCTAATCATTGTAAATTTAATGGCTATGTTCTTCCACCATTTAATTAGCTGATCGTGTACATGTCCATACTTCAAATGAGCCAAGGCTGGTTAGATTGTAGATGATTTCAGTGCTGCATGCGGGGAAATGTATGTGCAGCAAAATATATGTTAGTTTTTAGTTATTGCTGGCTGCATGATGTAATAATTAGTACAGGTACATGTATTAACTGTTTGTTTTGCATAATGAATCTCAGTCAGTCAGCACTTTGCCGTGTGGAGGGTTATAGTGGAATTGCAGTTGCTGAGACATAATGGTTTTATTTATTGCTCCATGTGATTGGTTCTGGAGGCGTGGAACGCAACGCGTCGTGGATATCGTCGTACCACGAAAACTTTACTCATAGATACTTGTTGTTTGCAATCTACCGATACTTAATTTGAATTGTCTCCTTTCTTGATGCAATGTTGATTTTGTTGTCATAAGTATGACAGACAACTGCTGTATGCTTCCATGTGATCCTCCACGCAAATTTAGGCGAGTGGAGTGTGAAGAGTTTGTAAAATATTATGCCATTATCCTCGATCGGATGAAAAATATAATTTTTTAACAATAGAAGGATAGCATACACAATTTGACAATATCATATTTTGTAGCACGAAGTCGTTATCCCACGGTTTTCTCAACATGCCACATATCAGATATCCCGTTTATTGTTTGCCGTTTAGGTCCTTTCAGCACTGACATCTCATATTTCATACACACTGAAATTACGTAAGATAAGATAACGGTGGATTTACTTTGTTGGCTGTTTCAAATGAATGTAAATGATCCGTCGTTTCATAATTATCAAGTATTATTGCGATTGATTTTATGGGAGAAAATATGAGCCTTGGGAGACCTGACGACTTGTGTGGATTAGGTTTCTTTGTGGCGTGAGAGAGATGATACTTCTTCCCTTATTATCCTAGTTGGAAATCAATAAGACGACGCCTGCACTTGCCATTCTAATATTTGTTTTTGTAAAGTAAAAATTCAAAGCCAAGCGCCTAATAGTTCTATCTAATACATAGGGCGACAGGGTCGTATATTCCGTGTCACTTGTCTGCCTTTATGGTATCCGTTCATCGAGGAACACATCCTCTCACCTTGGTTGGGGTGCAAATTATGACTCGATTTGTTATTAGTTCTAGATATTTGTTAAAACAATTGTTAATTTTCAGCAATTGATCTGTCGTCAATAGTCAATGATATCATCAATCTGGTAAATGTTGATACGGATTTATGCATGTGTATGCATGTCTCGGAAATCGTAGCAAAAGCAATATGCTCACAAACAAGACTAGTAAAATATTGTTCTGACGAAATAATGACAAATGAGTTTGGGCAACCCAAATTGATACACGAGTAGTGAGTGGCTCACTACCTAGTTTTGTGTTTTTTTCTCATTTGTATACAAACCAACTGTTAGATTTCTGCCATCAACCGATCAATGTGCATGTAATAAATATGCATATACATACATCGAACAGGAAGAATTACGATTCCTTATAATTTATTGATCTACATCTCTTCCCAATGATGGGCAACTACCGTTCGAAGACGTACTTTCATCACAAAGATCTTTTCAGCCTTTGCAGCTTTTCAGCCTTTGCCTCAGCAACAGAAAACTTAGTTTTTTTACTACAAGTCCATCACTACTTATCAGTTTAGATGACCTTTTCCTCTGAATTTTGTCATACTTTCCCCATCACCGATCACGACTGAATGACTGACCCGACTGGCTGCTGAGTTAACAATTTGTCTAATAGTCGATATACTTATTACATTTGTTATTATTATTCGTTTTTCGTGTCCCGACAGTCTTTGTGACTTTCTCCAAAAACAAAGGTTACGTTGGATTATGATGGAGTGTGATGTACTCCTGATGATGATATGGTGGTGTATTAAATATGTGTATGTAGTAAAGCGTTCTCTCGCTGCTGGGTCGATCGATCCAATTATATTGCAGCATTACATGAGAACGAGGGAAAAGTATTTGGCCAGAGGAGGAAGAAGAAAAAGAAGTCAACTGCATAGACTTTCCCTCACTCACCCACACCACCAGCACCACCACCTCGCTTTCTCCCTCCCTCCAGTCGGCGGAGAAAATTATACAAAACTCTCTGGCCCACAATTCCACCCATATATATTCAATATGTGAATCAATAGCACGCCAGCCAAACTACCTCCTCACAGCCTCCTCTCCCATCAATAATCTATCAATTAATCGCTACTCCTATCCAACCCCATGAAAAACAGGAAAAAAAGTTGAGTTCATGTCCGCACTGTGTGAGAAGTTTTGACCGATATTTAATTCTTGTAAAATGTCCTCTCATATAATAAAAAGAGCAATGAACAAAGGAGCTCTTAAAGAAATGCCAACAATGTGAATTAGACCCTGAGCAGTAAAAAAAATTCTTTAAACCCGTCCGGATGGATTTATGTCTTCAATAAGACAAATCCAATCTACACAATGAAATGAAATGTAAGCGTAAATCGGCAGAGTTTGACAAGGAGGGATCTACACGTTCATATATCCGCTTGACAAAAGTATTTCAAGAATTTCCTATTTTCTCCATCAACAAACGAACAGATTGAAAAGCGATATTATTATTTATATTGAGTTTGGAGTACGAGCCAAGCTATAATTCTTCCATGAATGGGACAGAGATGAAATGCTCAGATCAAGACGTTTTATCATCCTCCGCTCCTCTTACTACTAGAAGATACATATTTCGCCAAGTTGAATTTTTTAACTGTCTGCAATACTTATTTATACCAAAAGACGAGTATGGATTTAGATATATGCATGAATACGGGATTAATGGGGTCAATGTCGTCATTGTATGAGATGATTTTTTTAATTCGCAAACTGATTGAGTTCGGCTTTTGGTACAAATAAATGGTTTTGTACAATTTAAAATGACATATTGTATGGGTATTCAATCGTTATGGCAGTTCGCATAAAAAATAAGTTTTTTTATGCTTTACAAAATAAAAACATGCCCTGGAAGTGCGTTTTGCCAACCTTCATAAATCAAAATTTCCAACGGAAAGTTTACAGACCAATGAATTTAGGTTTTTATGCACTACGCCAATTACACTAACGCATGAAATGAATACCCCCATTATTTATTTATTTACCAATGTGAGTCCTTTTAACAAGAACAACTTTCTTTATCACAACTATTATGTTCATTAAATTTTATTCAAGTTCTCAGGATTTTTAGGAAGCAAACTCTGCCCTCATTTCATGGCCAGGTTCATGTCGATTTGTATAATTATTTATAGCATAGAGTAAATAAATTCCCATATTAACAAAAATGAAATTTTCTGCATACAGTTTTATGTGCCACACTAACGATCTGAAACGAGTTTAAAGGTGCTGAACATTGATTACATATTTGCATTGAAGCCAAGTACTGACCCGCACATCTCAATTGTTTAAATATAGGTTTTGTGCAAGATTATTTTTGGCTAGTTTGATAACATCTGGATACGTATGTATATTTTGAAATTAAGCAATATATTTGCAATATTTGTGTATTACAGGTGCCGGTGAGTCTGGGAAGAGTACCATCGTAAAACAAATGAGAATATTACACGTTGACGGATTTAGTGAAGAGTGAGTAGTCAAAATTATATAAATATTTTCTTGTGTGTATAGAATTTTTGAATGGATTCTTAATTGATTCCAATTTTCCTCGTTTCAGCGAAAAGAGACTTAAAATAGAAGATATCAAAAAAAATGTTAGAGATGCAATATTGGTAAGTTTACTTTCCCCTCCTTTTCTCATCCTCCTTCTAGTTGAAGACTAATCCAATTTGCTTTGGTAGACAATTACTGGAGCGATGAGCACACTGACCCCACCCGTTCAACTGGAACATCCCGAAAACCAATTTAGAGTGGATTATATCCAAGACGTTGCCTCCCAACCTGACTTCGACTATCCACACGTAAGTCATTCATCCTTCTATATCCATCCGTCCTAACTGCTCCCAACCCTCAATAACTGCATACATCAGACCTGTCCGTTCACTCATCACTTTCACCATGCACCCTTCTTCCTCATGAGCACCACATGTGTGTACGTAGGACCAGGTGTGTATGTAAAACATGTCTAGTTGCATATATGCACACAGGCTTCAACGTAATTAAGCATCCAAATGTGTGCATAATGTGATTCGAATGACGACCCTGGTAGAAAAATGTTCCAATTTTTAGAAAATGACATACCCAGTGTGGGGTCCTCACACGAGGTAGCAGCCACCGTGATCTGAAGTAGACAGATTGAACCAAAACTTAAATCCTCTAAGTTCCCTATTTTAATTAGGACTCAATACTCTCACGTTTGTTCTTAACTAAGGAGGAGAGGTGGTAGTTTCCCCTGATTTCTTCTCACTCATTCATTCAATGTGGGTGTGTTTTGACTTGTAGGAGTTTTACGAAAACACGGAAGAGCTGTGGAAAGACCGTGGAGTCCAAACATGTAAGTTTATTATAATTAAAATCAAGCAGTAATAATCTATTCATCAGGACGTATGTATTAATTAATGAAAGTCTCATGGGACGAGGAGAGAGATTCGAGTTTGTTAACAAAGTATGTATCAGTGTCTAACATGCGTTTTCCTTCCCATACAGGTTTCGAGAGATCCAATGAATATCAACTAATAGACTGTGCAAAATAGTAAGGACCTCAATTTTATTCTGAGCATAATTATTCCCGTAATCTCTTGGTGGTTGAACTGGGCATTTTGAAAAGATGATGAAAATTTTCTAGCATTGCATATTATTTAAATGTGCTGCACTGTGCATGACAGTCATTAGTTGCAATTGTTAGGAGAGGATATCCTCCACTAATATCCTCTACATTTTCCAGTACGTAGCACTGGAATTTTGTGCATCAATGTCAATGTACATATGAAGTCTTTCGAGTTAAGCTCCTCTAAAATTGAGTGGTGGAGAATCAACATTTTGCTAAATCCATGTTCGAAAACAACCAAATTAGGAAGGTATTAAGAAAGGAAAGTATGCACATGGAAAGCAATGCCAGTAAATATTTATTTGTCTTGTTTTTTCTGTGATGGGTACTTTACTGAATAAAATCAAGTTAGCTCAAACTGAGAATATCACTAATATACTGTTTACATCACTTTATTATCAGGATTATTGCGTCACTTATGCCCACTTTGCTTTATAACCTTGTTCCACTTTAGTTTTGAACTTATTAGTTTAACTGGTTAAATTAAGTGGTAAGTTGGTTTGGTTGTAATTGTGAAGTGCAGATGTTGTTTGTCAAAATGAGTGTGGCTAAAGACTCGGCTAAATACATAGTTTGTCACTTGCAGATCGGTATACGTATGTAACTCAGCCTAAAAATAACGACGTCATTCGAGTTACAGAATGATACACTTCGTATTTAAAATATACAATAAAAAATATTGCGTTTTGCTAATAAAACGGAAGTTTAATGGTAAAAATTTGCTGCACTCGTGTAGAATTTTCAAAAATTTCAAAGCATACATATTTACTTGCACAATATCCCGAAATAGTAATGGTGAAACTGATTCCATTACTTTCAATCAAAGGGCTTGCTCAACTTAAAAAAGAATACGAGATGAGGTGGTTCATTAATTAGTCAGTCTGGTCTGGGTCTGGGCAGAGGCAGAAGTAGAGGCATGACAGATCCATTTGTTATGCATATTTCAGTTCTTTTCATGGCCACGGTCGTCTTATAGTCAGTTCTGCATGTTCTACTCCCATGTAAAACTGGACTGGCTTCGGATAAATATGACTCATTTCCATTCGCCAATATTTGTAGGCGTTGTGATTTTTACAATACAACGAGAAAGTGCAATACGAAATACATAAAAATGTACTTGATGCACTTTAATTCATTCATTCAGTGATTTAAAAATAATGTAAATATGGCTTTACAACAGTTAATTTTTATTGTTATTAAGAAACGCTAACATAATTGTCATATGTTCAAAATAGAGTTCTCTTGAATATTCATGAACATTTTCCTTGTTTGTTTTCTTATGCGATCTGGACTTTATGTTTAAAGTCGTCCAACATTGTCGTCCTTGAAGTAAACAAGTCTGCCGGATACTGCAGCCAGACAGATGAAATTAAATAAGCAAGTCTAGAAAGGAAGAAAGATGTCAATTTTTTGGTTCACCTTTTTGCAAAACAAATACAACTACAATTAAGATACGTCGAATTGATATGTAGTACAATACGTGTAGAGTGCATCAGAACTGAACCATGCACATTCTTAATTGGCACTGTGTGTTGCTCCTCAACGGACATAATGCTGTCCATGTTTATTTTTGTAACGTATGCACAGAGATACATTTCTCCTGTATTGATCTCATTGGATTTATTGAAATTCTCCGCTATGGTAGACTAATCTCAGGAATATGCGAAGATGGGAGTTACGTACACATGTAATGCATAGACAGCAATGAGTGGAACTATATCCGATTCCTGTTGCTAATCATACACCCAATTAGGGTTTTGGTTGTATTATTTATATTAGCAGAGCAAATCATGAACATACATATTTTGTATGGGATTTTTTACTTTGCAAGTACACAAACTTACCTACCGTTACGTGATTCGATTATAATCATCCTTGAAATAAATTGAATGTCATGATACGGATAAGAGACGTACTTTGATAGATTTGCAGCCGACAAAGCTCAATTGTGCTCACTTGAATAGCGACATGCATTCTGTACGACAAAAAGAAAACTAAACTTGAGGTAGGTCAGAAGAACCAGTGCACAAGTTTTCTTTTTGATGGTTGAACCATGTTTATGAAAGCACCAGCAGCTTATATATTTGTATTATTGACCACTCACAATCCTATTACCAATTCCCAGAAATGATGAAACGGCGTGGGTTTATTCTCTGATGGCTCAAAACATGTCTCGACGTAATCACATACGACTCACTCACAATAAATACATGGACGTATTTGTCAGATCTCTGTTACTCTAGATTCAGTGATGTCGTATCGCGGAAGCAAGAAATTATTTATTTATTGGATCTGGCATGATCCGATGCATTTCTAATGTGTGCATGGTACCTGTTGAGTTTAAGCACTTGCTGATTAAACTGGCTGAAAAGACACTTAAATGAAACTTAAATGAAGAAGTTGTGTGCCTTCAGCTCTACGGCCCACCCATCCACACCCACGTCCATCCATGCATTCACTCGCTAACTCACTCACAGGAATTTATGCTGCACGAGGTTGAACAAAGAGAAAAGCTACAACTGCGACTACTTGCGTAAGCAGTGACATAAAAGTAAGTAGCTGGGTGAAAGTAACGATCATGTCCGAAGCTCAAGTAGTGTAATGTGCAAGAGTGTGGGTGCTGATGAGAGGGTGACAGAGAGAGAGAGAGAGAGAAAGAGAAAGCAGCCTCACAGAGCCCGGGGCCGCACACACCTATGATTTTTATTTTTGTGCAGTTCATAACCTTATTGAAAGTATGTACATGCATGTGTACATAAATATGTACAGTGATAAAGATCACATGCTTTCAGATCTGCAATGAGTATAAGATATGGCTGCTTATTTGGCTTAAACTGTGTTACCATTTTCACTCATCGCAAAATAATGAAAAGAAGAGATTTATTAGGAACTCGTCTAGAAGTAATTCTGTAGTTACTGTTGATTGGATAGGCCCGTGTTATTTTTATTTTACTCAAAGCCATCTACCTCTCTTAATAAAATCTCAGAGTAGACGTGTTCAACTCGAACTATTTATACGTAGGAAAACAATATACGTGACGACATAACCGGATTAATTACCCATTTTGAGTATTGGATACTATTTTACGGTGTCAAGCCTCCTCCTCCTCTGATGTCACATGTCACTTTGACCCAACTCCTTTAATTGTCTATCTGCGTTACAGCCATGACCACTTGCGCACTTATCGCATGCAGATTTGCCAGCCTGGGGACGCCTCTGCTGTCTCTTGTGTTTATTTGGCAATATAATTACAGAAACACGTCAGACACACCCTCGAGTAGATGAGATGGACATTTGTTGACAAACAGGAATAGACTTTTGTTTGCGCACTTTGGAAAGAAAATGTACAGGTTGCATTTTATGTGTGGATATTTAGTGTGTTTTCATCCCAGTTCAGCTCAATTTCATCCAGCTCAAAATGCTGTAAAACTAGGAATGGAAAAGAAACAAGGAAAATTGAAATTGAATGGCACTTGAATGGAATGGGTGACGCACATGCAGCTTCCTTCCGGAGAGATCAGATATACGGAGAGCGTCACCACCTGCCCTTCACAGATCTCGATGCCCTTTGGATATGTGGTAGGGTCCTATGAGTGTACTAAAACCCTGCAGTGGTTTGACTCCATGGCCACATTTACGTCCGCCACACCCACTCAAAGGGATGAAAACCACAAAAGTTACCAACTTCAAAAATCCAATTTTGCGCGGATTTTGATAAAATTTGCATTTTTGTGATCCCAGATACTTGTCTGATAATATTCAATAGCAATCTCAACTTTTTTGAAATTTTCGAAATTTTCGAGCTGATGAACTATTCGAAAAAATTCAAAATTTCAAAAAAGTTGGGATATCTACTGGATATGATCACACAAGTATCTGGGATCACAAAAATGTAAATTTTATCAAAATCCGAGCAAAATTGGATTTTTGGTGACATTTAAAGTACATGAAAACGGCTTTTTTCGTGTTTTACGCGACTTTGAGTGGGTGTGGCGGGCGCAAATGTGGCCATGGAGTCAAACCACTTCAGGGTTTTAGTACACTCATAGGACCCTACCACATATCCAAAGGGCATCGAGATCTGTGAAGGGCAGGTGGTGAAGCTCCCCTCCTGAGAGTTGTGTATTGTGGTCCACTACATACTCCATAAGCCCCACCTCTCACGTCTCTCGGCATATTTATGTGTGTGTACATACATGTGCATAGAAAGCAAATATGTATTTTACTTTTCCAAGAATGCACAAGCTTAGCTGATTCAAAATTTAGAGTATATTTTTAGTTGTTGTTTAGCTGTTGAAGTCGGAGATTGTCAGAAATCTTGTTTTCATTCATGCTGACACAAGTGTTTTCAAGATTCTGAAAATAGAATTTTGTCAGGAGTTTCCAATTAAACTAACTTCACACATTGTACTCCTTAAGGGTAATTTCATCTGTATGTTATGAAAATTGGACATTGTGTCTAGTTTAACCTGTGGCTTGATTATTAAATTGTGAAATCGTGCCCACTTGGACATCAAATTTAAGCCAACCTACGTTGTACTACTATGAATTCCAGGGTTGCCAGGCTTTCCGCCATGACTGTCTGTCTTTGACACTATTTCGGTAGAACGATCAAGGTCATCCAATCGACTTGAAAGTTTGCACACCCTTTGTATAGCCCCCAGATTAGGAATTACCTACAAAGATCGAAATTAAGGAAAATGCGGCGAAAGTTTCTGGCTCGGGCTACATCAAGCCTGCCCAATGAATTTTGCTATGGATATTGCCATACTTTCTCTTATGTATTACTAAGGAAAACCTGCTCACTTTTCTCACCATTTCCAATCGACCGTGAATGGCGAATGGAGTAGAAGATTTCGCATAAAACTGTAATAACAGATAGCTCGATACCATGTACATTCTGGTAAATGAAACATCCCAAGTT